CCCCCCCTCCAGTATAATGGAATATCTACAAGACTTGTTTGTTCTGGAGTAAAGGTATATTATAGCGCCTTATATTAGCTCTAAGGGAGCCGGTGGCTGAGCGTACAGAACACTGCACTCGTGATCCTGTGGTTCCGGGTTCGATCCCGGGCGCCGGCGAGAAACAATGGGCAGAGTTTTTCACCCTATGCCCCTGTTACCTAGCAGTAAAATAGGTACCTGGGTGTTAGTCAGCTGTCACGGGCTGCTTCCTGGGGGGTGGAGGCCTGGTCGAGGACCGGGCCGCGGGGACACTAAAGCCCCGAAATCATCTCAAGATAACCTCAAGATCAAGATAACTCCCTGTGCGTGGGGGTGGGGGTTGGGAGAGTGTCTCACTATCACAGCACACCCTTCCTGCACTTCTGCACGCTACCATGCTCCCTTTGCCCCCCATCCCCTGCACGCTCCCTTTGCCCCCCATCCCCTGCACGCTCCCTTTGCCCCTCCCTTTCCCCGCCCCCCTCCCCCATCCCCCGCCCCGCCCCCTCCCCAATGAGGCATGGTGCCACTCTGCATGACTGCCTACAGCGTGTCCTCAGCGAGGCTGCATGTATCCCCCTAGTAGCTCCCTCACTCTTCATATTGGACGAGTTTAAGATTGACCTAAAATTCTGTTCATAATTAGGTGCAGTGTAAACAGTATTAATCAGTGTACAATATCATGAATGCAAATTCTGTAACATTCCAAAAGCATATGTTTTTAACTAAACACAAAAAATTATTTGTGATGGTTCAATTGTGAGGTTCAGTCCCTGAGCCCATTATGTGCCTCTGTAACCCTTTCCACTACCGCCCACAAGATGGGTATGGGGTGCATAATAAATGAAAACTACTCCGATGATTCATTTTTCATTAACCCTTCACAGCTGATTTTAACAAGATCACAGCTTAAGCATATTATTGACTTTACCACACGTGGAAAAAATAATGATCGACAGGAAAGAGCTAGAGCTCAACCCCCGCAAGTACAGCTAAGTGAATACAAGTAGGTGAATACACGTGTAAATATAAACCCACAAAAATAGAGCACCATACAATCTATGAACTAACACATGGTAACACAGAGGTGTTCGCCAGTACACACTATTTGAGGGGTCTCCGTAGTACAGTCGGGTTCGTTCTCGACGCACAACCCAGAATTACCTTTCACCTAATGCCTCTATTCACCTAGCAGTGAATAGGAGTGGGCTTGTTGTGGGGTTGCATCCTGCGCGGGGGTTAGTAATTCGACCTTGGGAGAGGGGGGGGGGGTCCTCGAGAAAAGCCAAACATGCACTCACCTAGTTATGCTTGCGGGGATTGAGCTTCGGCTCTTTGGTCCCGCCTCTCAACCGTCAGTCTACTGGTGTACAGATTCCCCAGCTTCTCGAGCTCTATCATATCTACATTTGAAACTGTGTATGAGTCAGCCTCCACCACACCACTTCCTAGTGCATTCCATTTACTAACTACTCTGACACTGAAAAAGGTTTTTCTAATGTCTGTGGCTCATTTGGGTACTCGGCTTCCACGTCCCATGTCTCCTTGTGCGCGTGTATCACCCGTGTTAAAAAAAAAAAAAAATCCTTATCTACCATGTCAATTCCTCAGAGAATTTTGTATGTGGTGATCATGTCTCCCCGAGCTCTTCTGTCTTCCAGCGATATGAAGTGCAGTTCGCTCAGCATTTCCTCGTAACTCGTGCCTCTTAGTTCTGGGAATACCCTAGTGGAATAGGGTACTCTGAACTTTTTCAAGCTTTGTGTTGTGCTTGACAAGGTACGGGCTTCCTGTTGGGGGCCACATACTCCAGGATTGGTCTTACATAAGTGGTATACAAGGTTCTGAATGATTGCTTACACAGGTTCTGAAGGCAGTTCTAATGTTAGCCAGCCTCGCATAAGCCACATATGACCACCCTGGCTACCTGTCCCCCAGCACAATGAAATTAAAGCAGTGGGTTCACTCGGAAACCAAGAGAACACCACAATAATAAAATACAGTACCTTGGTAGATATTTTTCTTATTCATCCGAGGGCACTGACGACTGAGTGGCTCACATATGTTATTAAAATATTAACAAATGTTTGTTTGTAATATATGGATGTTTATTCTTATTCTAATGTTGAACTAGAACATTTGGGCATACATCTTCAAACTCTTATTACTGTATTTATTTTGTGTAGTTGATAGATTCATTGGTCAATAGTTGCTCGAGCACATGCATCACTTGGGAGCATAATGACCATCCATCAAAACCTTGCAGTTTATATTAAATTTGCTTTATCCCCATTTAGTTTTTATTCACATGGTGTTGAACTATACAACATGCATAGTTTAGCCATGTTTATAAAAAAAAATACCTGATTGTAAATTCATTCATCTCACACTCCTGTCCATCCTCTAATATTGTAATATTGTATTATTAAAATAGTTTTAATGGCCAATAGATTTTTATCTGGACCCCTTGACTTTTCAGGCATATGGTATCGTGTGGAAGGCTATTGACCGTCGAACAGGGGAAGTGGTGGCTGTTAAGAAAATCTTTGATGCCTTTAGAAACGAGACGGATGCGCAACGCACCTTCAGAGAGATAGTCTTCCTGCTGGAGTTCTCGTCGCATCCCAATGTGATTCGTCTGCTCAATGTGCTGAGAGCAGACAACAACAAGGACATCTACCTCGTGTTCCAGTTTATGGGTTCGTCTACATCTATTAGTGGGCCAGCCAGAGAATTGGGGCCCGCACAGGAATATCCCTGCCATATCTATAACATTGTCTTCTCTTTTTCCCTCCATAATCCAATTCCCTCCCTTTGCTCAATTATTCTCTCCCGCTGCAAACTTTTCATTTTTGTTTATCATTCTACTATTTTTCCCTATCCTCCATTTTCTCTCTCCTTTAATCTTTTCATTTTAGATATTAAAAGTTTAATCATACAGTACAGTACTATTTTCCTACTTCCACTACACTTCATACATGCACTCATATCTTGCATATAAGACTTGACCATTGGGGTTCAGTGATTAATAGATTATAGGTACTGTGCTGTAGTGTAGTTCTTACTCGATAAAAATTAGTCTTTAGTAACTTGATATAGCCAAGAATCGCAAAACATACTATATAATACCCACCCACAGATTGATAATGCATTTTAAACGTATGTATGTTACATTCTACTATGCTATCTGCTTCCTCTGAACCCATATACTGTACTGTATATAGGTTCAGCTTATTGTTTATACAAACTTTAAGTCAGAGACAGTAATAGGGCCTAAAATATGTTGGTGCTCTAAACATAAGTGTCTCCCCCTTGGTCACACGGCCACTTTTGGCTGCGACAAGGTAGAAATGCAACCCCCACCCCCCCAAAAAAAATACATTTCCATTTTTTTATTACATATCTTGGAGTAAAACCTACACTTCCCAGCTATGACAACGAACTTGAGAACAGAAATTGTGGTAAAAACAAATGCACAAAAAAAAATTATTTATCGAGACTTTCTTAATAGAAAATATGGACTAAGTAACTTTAAACGAAAGTGTGTGCTTGCAAGACATTTAATAATATAAATACAGCCAATAATTATGATAAGACAAGCAGAACAATGCCAATATTAAAGGTAATGAGTGTTTTTGGAATGTATTTTTTTCGTAAGTTGAGGACACTCTTACAGTATTTTATCATTTTAAATCACACTCCTGAACTACCAAGAATTGTGCCTTTATTTTAGATAGGAATTCCAAGTAGAGAATACAGTACTCCATCATAGATCCAATTTGCGGGTTATATACTTTGCGTCTAGGTGATGTGTGACCCCTATGCAGACAAGCAAATTATTTAGCATATTTAGCCATGTCTTTCACATGTCTAGTGTAAGACACTCATCGATCTCCTCCACTGAATATAGAACAGTACAATTAATAGATTAATTTTTACTGTATATAATTTTTGTCTTGTCTAGACTTAAGATAAACAGGTACATTTGCTGCCTGTGAGAGAGGTTTTGTTTGAATATTTCTTGGAGCACCAATTATACAGTATTGTTTTTATTAGATTGTAGTCTAATTATAAACAAATGTTCAGTTAATTTTCTGTATTCCCAGCTTGCATCCTAAATAGGATGCTCATTATTGTAGATATTCTTTTACAGAGACTGATCTCCATAATGTTATCAAGAAAGGCAATGTTTTAGAAGATATTCACCGACGCTACATCATGTATCAGCTGTTCCGAGCTGCTCGTTATCTGCACTCTGGCTCTGTCATACACAGAGACCTCAAAGTGAGTTACAATACAGATAATAATAATAATGAGAAATCTGTAGGAGCCATGATGAGGACTCGAACCTCTGGGGCATGTGGGGGACTACCCAGCGCATGGGTTCAAATCCTCCTCGTGGCTCGTAATGAATTTTTTCATTGATAAATCAAGTTAGTGTGATTATTGTGTAATAATGGTAATATTACTTTATTTCTAAAAAATATATACTGTGTATTGGATCCGATTGTAATTTTTTAGTAGGTACTCAATTACAAGGTGATGACATAGGGCATCCTATAATGTAGTGGTCTATTTTGACATGTTCTGGATTAAAAGTAGTGTGAAAATGTATTGAGCTATCATGTTCTTGCTAAAAACAAAAATTAATAATGAAGTCTGATACTGGTTAAAATATTTCATTAATAAATAATGGAGGACAATAGAAGTTATACTTATAAGAATTAAAGCAAGTTAGCCTTAACTTGCTTTAATTCTAATAATTTAATAATTTAATCCATAAACATTAGCCTTACAGTGATGACTGTAGTAATTAGGTTAAGATAATTGCAGTAGTATACTCGTATGTATTTTATTGTCATGTACCTTGAAAGTACCATCTGTGTGAGGCCGAAGCTCTATCAACTGGGCTATGAGTAGTCATCCACATTTCCACGGAAGTGTAGATGACAATTTATATGACACGAGCATGGGTCAGTAATTCCTCTGAGCTTCAGTAGTAGTCAGGAAAAGTTGAAAATTCCAGTTCGGCAGCAAGATGTTGCTTCTGGAAACTTTCCTTTTTAAGACTTCTCATAGCCCAGTCAATAGAGCTACGGCTTCACATGAGTGGGGTCCACAGTTCGAAACCCATACAGTCTAAGTGAATGGAATGTTTATTTCCACGGAAGTGTGGATGGTTCAGCTTACCTTGTTGTAATTTGTCTTGTGTGATACTGTAGATCTTGAAAATTTATGTAACCAAATCTCTGGTTATCCGGACTTCTGTTCAGATATGGCGAAGTTTGGCAGAAAATTATCCGAACCTGATTTTGGCTGCATAATCCAAATACAGTATTTGGTTCAGTGGGCTTTGGAAAACCAAGCTCCTACAGTATTTTCAAGTTAAATATTAAACCCTTTAAATTTGTTAAGAAATGTCTATTTCTAAATAAGATATCTGAAATTAAAGTAATATAGGAGTATTAATTTTGTAAACTCTCTATATACTGAATAGGAATTTTCTTAGGTGTTACATATAGTGTCTTATTACTTTGATTTTTTTTTCCAGCCCTCTAACCTTCTGTTGGATAGTGACTGTCGTGTCAAGGTTGCAGACTTTGGACTGGCACGTTCTGTAGAGCCCTGTGCTCGGGTTGAACCACAAGGTGATCCTACACTCACAAATTACGTTGCAACAAGATGGTATCGAGCTCCTGAAATCTTGTTGAATTCTAAAAGGTATGTACAATATTGTGTTGCTTGTAAAGCTTAATAAGCCTGTAACAATGTAATTAGATTTTTGATGCTTATCAAAGAGTTCCTTTAACACTGAAACGCAAACTTGCTGAGCATGTGTTTTTCACGGTCTTCTCATTGACAGATACACATTAGGAGTGGACATGTGGAGCCTTGGCTGCATCCTTGGAGAAATGCTACTGGGTAAACCTATGTTTCCTGGCTCTTCTACTCTTGACCAGATTGAGAGAATAATGTCTATTATATCTCCTCCATGCAGAGAAGGTAATTATAATGATACTGTACACAAAGAAAAATGTTTGATTTTTGTAATAAGTTTGAATAGTTTTGAGTAGCTATTAATGTTTCATGTTGGATGAAATAATTATACATAAATCATGTAAAAGTATGCCTTCAAATAAAAGTGGTAAAATTTGACCATAAACAAAAACTTGAAAGCTAACTAATGAAGATATTAAAATTAGTGTACTATATATTATATTCCACAAAAAGGATTCTATGCCAACTATTAACTGTCATTCTAAAGGTTAGGTTAGGTTTGTTTTAGCTGTGAGAATCCAAAGAGTCTGAAATATAAGACTTGTGTTGATGTAAAAAAAAATATCCTTTTTAACTTGACATTTTTGTCTGATGGAGTATCCTAATCACAAAACTCTGGGTCAAGGGAAACTGTGTAGCAATAGGAAAATGACTAACTAAATATTTTAATAAGAAAATGTCATGATTTGTTTACATTATTGTGGTAGTTATTAACTTAAGGAATTTCAGTGATTATTATGTCTTGACAAGAATATTATGTGATGCATCTGAAACTGTAGTACTCCAGATAGTATAATAATGTGAAATACATTGTTCTACCCAAAATCTTGTCACAAAATTCAATCCTGAAAATGTTTTTGAATGCTAAATGTTTTTCCACCAAGAAATAGCACAAAGTATGCAGGATTTCCTGATAGAACAGCATATATAAGTGGGTTGTGTGGTTTTATTTTGACATGGGCTAGCAGATGGTTCCTTTCTTGAAACTGCTATATTGTTACCAATGAAATTCGAGATGCAAGAACTAAAGAAGTGATAGTTTCAGTATAAGTTCATAGAACACTTTCCTTCCCATCGTTCTAGTACAGTATTAATATTTAGCTTTATTTAGGAAAGTTCACAATGAGTAATGAATGGATTAAAAGTAATAAAGCAGGTATAAAAAGCAAATAAATCTACTTACTTTTCAGTGATAAGAAAGAAAAGCAAAGAAAAACTATATTATTTTCTTCTGCAGATTTACATCTTGTTTCATCACAGTATGCCTCGACTCTTTTGAGTAAACCTCATGGCGGCCGAACTCCCAAGCCTCTTAAAGATATATTGGCAGGTGCGCCAAATGATGCCATAGATTTGATTGAAAAGTTGTTGGTGTTCAGTCCTGACAAAAGACTGACAGCGGAACAAGCTCTCAAACACCCTTATGTTGCAAGGTATGATTAAAACTTGTAATACAGTATGTGTACACATTCAGTACTTATTAATTTCAAAATATATGATTCAAATATTAAATTACCCTTGCTTTATTCTCATTTACAAAATGGCTAGAATAAATGAATTAAATGTCATTGTAGAAAATACTAAACATTTTACCAATACCTTGTTTAAACTGTTTTTAGGTGACAAAGTGACTTGCGAGACATATGCATTGCTCAAGTACTTGAGTTATTAAATTTACTGTCAATTGACTTTGACTTTCAGCACTTTTTCATTCTGATGACTGTCCAGTGTGTCATCAGCTACACTAGTCTGATGCTATATGAGCTTGGTAGCATATGCTCACTATCAGTTTGTTTGCATTTTGGCAAGACAGATTACAAGTATCCAATCTTAATACAGTAATTTAATGCTGGTCGCATTCAGGTCTTTTTTTTTTTTTTTTTTTTTATACAATATTGTCTTGCTTTTGTTCTGTCCTTTCTAAGTAGTGAGTTGTACCCTGCGAGATGGAATTTAATTTCCGTTCTCTCTCCTTATTCCCTTGTCTCGTTGATTCCAGTGATGTTGGGGTTCTCTGCCTCGGAATATGTACATTGTATCAAATTTATTGACCAAGCTACCTGTATATGAAACAAACTTGTATGCATCACAAAGCATGTCCAATGCTTCTAACAATATAAGCAATGAGTTGGATGAAGTTAGTGTAAAAGAGCTTTGCCAGATATTTGGGACTGACAATGTTGATGGGCATTGTGAAGATGCCAACGATGAGAATGTACTCATATTTTTTTCTTCATGACGATATACTTTATTCTTAAGGTGGTGGTAATATTATTCTTCCATTTGACCTTGTATGCATATATCCCTTTAGAGCATTCTATTGCGAACAATTTGATACCAAAATGAACGTCATAACATAAAAATTGAGGTGAGAAAACTAAAGAGTACTGTATACACATTTTATTGCAAGTGATGTGGGTGTATTCACCTAGTTGTACCTGCGAGGGTTGAGCTCTGGCTCTTTGGTCAATTTGGTGTGTTCTTCGCTCTTTGGTGTGCGGATTGGTGCTTGCTCTTGGGTAACATTCGGTGGATTTTCTGGTTTGCTGTGGTAACAAATGGGACTTTATGACTTTATATGCATATATCCCTTTAGAGAATTCTAGTCTGAACAATTTGATACCAAAATGAACAACGTAGCACAAAAATTGAGGCGACAAAACTAGAAAGTTTACACATTTTAGTGCGGGTGCACTCTCACGGGAAACACTCGGCCCACCTTAGGGTGGGCTGAGGCTCGCACACTGGGCCAGGCTGTCTCAATATATATATTTTCTCATTATTTATTTGAAAATCAAAGTTTACCTGATTTATTTATTTACTTTTTTTTATTAATAATTTCATGCTAACCCCTCAAATTTGTATTTCATATACTGTACAATACATATTATCTGTATATTCTACAGTATAGTATAGGTTTTCTTTTTCTTTGCCAGTAAAGCAGGTATACATATACTGTGTATTTGTATGGAATTATTATAATCTAGTATTTTTTCCAGATTTCACAATGCTGCTAATGAACCATGCTTGGAACATGCTGTGGTGCCTTGTATTCGTGATGATATACAGCTTAGTGTTGATATATATAGAAATAAACTATATGAACTAATAGCCTCTCGAAAAACTCGTTTAAAGAATTCATCGAGTAGCGATCGAGCTAATGGTGTCAGTAGTTCAAGATGTAATACCAATCAAGCAAATGGTCACAATTCAAGAGACCATAGCAGCTCACAGTTTAAGTATAATAACCAAAATGCTTCAAATTCTCAAAATGCAAACAACCTAACCACAATAAGAGGTGCACAAACCTTTCAAACAAACCAGCCAATTAAAGTGAAAGTAGTTGCACGCAAGGTAGACAGACAATCTATTGCTAATGTTGAAGAATGTGCTCGGCTATCTTCAAAGGATAGCGATAAATCTTCAGCCAAGTCGTCTGCAAAATCTTCAAGTAGTTCTAGTCCAACCAGCAATGGTCGTCACAAGTCTATATCTCCCGTCATCTCAAGACCAGCAGAGTTAACACCAGAAAAAAGACGTGAAAGAATTTACAGTCAGCATCCTAATGGTATGTAAAATTACGTGCCTACGGTATTGCGACTTATAATTGTATCAAAGTAAATGGTGAATTTGTTATTATTCAATTACCTAAATAGGCAATATATTATTTGAAATCAATATATAAAAAACGTTTCCGTTTTATTTCAGATGTATCGCAAAAGCATCGCAGCCTGGACGGAGGGAGTGCCATGCCTGGGGGAGTGCCTGTAGCAAGGTCAGGAGGAGTGACGGTGACACTTGGAGGATCGTGCGGGGGAGGAGGGTCAGGTGAGAAGCGTGGGCCTTTCACTAGGTCTGTATCCCTCACCTTCCCTGCTGCAAATGAGTGTTCACCCACCAAGGTTATTACTAGTTATAACAAGCAAGTAAGTATGTCATGGTGCACTAGTATTGCTAAATTCTATACTCAAAGTAGGTTTAGTGGGAAAGGACACATTCTTTACAAAGTAGGTAGCTTATAGTAGCTCAGTTATATACAGTATCTAGATAAATATAAAGTACTGTACAAAAGAAATACCCTGTATACAATATCTAGATAAATAAAGTAATGTACAAAAGGAAAACTAGAAATTTGTAAAAATGTACTCTGGGACAGAACAAAATCTCTTAAGATTTATGACTAGCATGATAAAACATTCAGAGAGTTCTTTAGGCTCATGATAAAATACACATTATCTTCATTCCTAGTAGCTCAATAAGTAAAGGCTCTGCTGTTGTTTTGAAAATGTTTACATATGCAAGACATTAAATAAATTTAGTGTTTATTGATAGTCTTGTAAGATATAAAAAATGAGAAAATGTTTTAGATGGAACATTTCCTGAAAGTGTCAATGAAACTTTCAGAATATGTAGGTAGTGCAACTGGTTAATACATTGTCATGTAATATCCATGTTATATACTCTTGATCAATACACACATTTTTATGAGTTTTGGGGTCATCCAGCACATGGTACATGACTTTATGTAATGCTTCTGATGTTAAATAAGGTAGCATTTACAACAAAGATAATTTTTGAGCTATTCAATTCATATGTTCTTAAGGCAAGATCACTAATAGTCCCATTGGACCAAATTGACACATTGGGGACAGAATAAATCTTCGTACCCATGTAACAGATCTTTTCAAACATCGCCGTTGTCCTACTGGTGCAAGGAAGGTACTGAGGAAAAGATTAATTCAACCCAGAGTGGCTATAAAAATTATCATAAACATTTGGGGCCTTTACTATCTCCACTATGCATCACGAGGGTTACAATGTAGTGCTATCACAAACTGTGGGTTGCCATGCACCGGCACTATTAAATTAATATCAACAGCCAGTCTCTTGCCTCAAGTCAGTCATTTTCTTCTTAATTGTTCCACGATAGTTGGGCAAGCTCTAAATCAGATTCAGATAAGTGCCTTGTTTTCATTCTTATGAAATTTTTTCACTGTACAGTGGGCTCATGCTTTGTGCTTGCTGCAGAAGTATATTTAATATTGGAACACATCATATATGTATGGAAGTCTGTTGTGATTCTAGGGATTTAATTAGTCAGCGACTCAATCACGTCAGTTTGTGCTAAAGCAGTGGGATGGTGTATGTGGCATGTGAAGAATCTGTTGCCATTTTATGGCGAGAAGATTTATTTCCTCGGCCAGCATTTTTGGGCGTCTTTTAAACAGCAGTATAAGATAGCCAGCAAGTTCACCAACAGTATATTGTTTGCCACCAGTCGTCCTCTGATGAGGCTGCAGAGTGAAGTGCAGATTTAGAAAGTGTGTCCAGCGGCCCCAATGAAATTAGTGTCTTAGGCTAAATGCAGATTACCTACAGGTAATCAAATTCCAGTCTCTGCTTGCCCACAACTGAGACAAGAACAAATCAAGATGATTCCTATCATTGGTATTTGAAAAATATCCTCACTGCACTGGTTCAGAATAATGACTTAACCTGACTGTGAGAGACTATTCATAGGACCTTTAGGGATTTGCTTTGGGTAGCATTTGAAGAGAATAGATCTGAAATATACTACAGTATTTTGACTATCATTTAAAAATAGTTTCCCGTCAAGTTATGGAAAAATTCTTATACAGTACAGTAAATTAAGTATTTTGCTGTTTGCTTGTAACATCTAAAATCTTATTATTGTAGCTATGTACAGGGATCAAAAGGCTTAAGGTAATTCAGTTTTTAAAACATCATATTGTTTGTTTATAAATGTATACCGTGACATTAACCTTGGTGGGAAATAGGAAGATAATCACATTTTTAACTTGTGCACTTAAACTATGCCACTGATGTACAAGTTCTGTTTATCTGTGATAACATCTTTCAAACTCTTGTACATAAACTCTATAGCACACTCAAAATTTAATTCTCCAGCACAGTTACTCTTCCTTTGGTTGCATTGTCCTCGTCTGATTATCTCTCCCTTCTATTTCTGCTTCCACTAATTTTCTTATCTGCACTGCTGAATATTTCATATCACAACATTCCTCTTATTTAAGATATGATTCCTCATTAAGCAGTCTGGTGTTGTGTACTTCAGATGCTAACTTTCCTGTCATCTTGGATTTGGATTGGAAACTTTTAATCTTTCATATATTTAAGATCAAACCAAATCTTTATGCAATACCTGTATACAAATATTAAGTCGTAAGTAATCGTATATTGTGTGTGTGTTTATTTCATAGAATACATGTGCATCATTTAAATTTTTTGTTATTACAGTAATGTTTAGATTATATTCAAGAATATTATCACTTCATAGAACTAGATCTGTTAACTGTAATTAAATCCAGCCTGATAATTGTTTGTTGGTGTATCTGTAGTGTGAACTTCAAGCCACACACAAGTGGACTTCAATGCTCTGCAACTGCTTTTACTTCAGTGTTCATGCGCGTGTGCACACACATACATATATGCATGTACTTGTGTAAATGTATGGTGAATTGTGATTGCATAGCGAGTGTCATAGGGTGATTGGGATTGATCCCCAGTGTACATTTTAAGCAGGATTATCAACTGTTGCAACAACCAAAGATTGTTTTGCAGCCTGAAATGGGGGTTTGACTGTCCATAAAGTTTTCCAACTTATTTCTTGGTTGTGATCATCGATGATTCAACATCAGCAACATTGATTTAGTGATAATGACATTGATTCAATATTGATTTAACATAAGAATATTTTGCCCACTGGGAGGGAGAATGGGAGTGAGCGAGGGAGGGAAGACAAACGGTCAAAATTACCTAAGTGTAGTTAAAGGATGAGAGCTACGCTCGTGGTGTACTGTCTTCCCAGTTGCTCTGTAATATAACGCTTTGAAACTACCGTTGGTTTTGGCCTTCACCACCTTCTTGCTTAACTTGTTCCAATTGTCTACCACTCTGCAAAAGTGAATTTTCAAATTTTATCATCATAGTTTAGCTAGCTTAAATCTAAGAACACCTCTTGTTCTTGAAGTTCCGGGTCTCGGGAATTCTTCCCTATCAATTTTGTCGATTCCCATTCCTATTTTCTTTGTAGTGATTAAATCTCCTCTTTTTCTTCTATCTTCTAGTTTTGTCATATTTAATTTCTCAAACCTCTTTGTCATTTAGTTGAAAGTCTTTGCACCTTGCCCAGTTTGTCGATGTGCTCCTGAAGATATCGGCACCACACAACTGCTGCATATTCTAGCTTTGATCTTACAAAAATTGTGAAATTTTTTTTTTAGCATTTCACCATCTATGTACAGTATTTAAAAACAAATCTGAAATTGGAAAGTGAAGCATAAGTCTCCTCGCACATTATTCTTTATGTGGTTGTCAGGTGAGTTTTCTGTCTAGAACCACCCCTAGATCTCTTTCTTTATCTTTACCGTTTCATTTCGTTTGTTCATCCCTGGAATTACCTAGGCGTTGTTACAGGATAAAACCTATGCTCGTGGTGACCTGTCTTCTTTGTCGTGTGACTTTTGGAGCTTCCGATAGTTTGGTAAAAAGTATCCTCTATTTCATCCGTGTTCCACTGCAAATGAAAATTTAAACGTATTTGCTCCTTTTATTTTCTTAGTTTGAATATATAACCTCTTGCTCTTGATGTTGCATATTAAAAAAAAAAATCCTTCTATATACATTTTTTAGATTCTCAGTTTTGTATGTATGATCTTGATACCAGTTTTCTCCTGTCTACAAGTTTTAGCAGACTAGACACCTCCAATTTCTTCTCATAGCTTGTTTTCTTTATTTGGGAGCCAATTAATAGCATGTCTTTGCACCTTTAATAATTTAGCAATACTGTATGGCTTTTGAGATGCAGATACCATACAACTACTTCATGTGCACTAAGTATTGTAGGATTACATTACCGTAGGTCTCTATCCTTTTAACATAAATTATGACTCAAAACTGCAGTTTTAACTAGAAATATAAAGATTTTACATAGTGGAAATAAATCTACACAGTTAATTGACAGACTTAGTCTTAAAAGACCAAGACAGATAAAACACTGAAATAGTTTGGTGGTACACTATTGTATAGAATATTGGGAAATGGGCAAAAAGCTTGTTTAAAGAATTTTTTTTTTCAATTGGACAACTTATCAATATTGAGGCATTGTCTTCATCTTCGGTTCTCGACCTCAACCTTTTGCACAAGATTGATGTACAGTATTAGTAAAGTACTGCACAGTGAATAATTTGACAGTTATTAATATTACTATGAAAAATATTAATTAAAAATAGTATTGAATATACTGTACAGAAATGACTATTACTGGTGAGCCATCATAGCTCTTGAGCAAAGCACTGGTCCCTGCACAACCTGCCTACTGGAAGCCAGGACCAGAATCTGACATGTTTTATGATATAAAGGCAAATTGGAGATCAAAGATTAATCTAAAAACAGAAAAAAACACCAGAATGCATATGTGCAACAAGGCAAATAACTACTGTATTATTAAGAAAAATAAGCACTCGGAAGTAACGCAGCAATCAATCACTGCCTTATGATGAACACTGATGCACCTGACCCCCCACCACCACCACCACCAGGTGGCAGCTTAGGTCACCAGAGTCCAGTTTGCCTGCCTCTCATTCATGAGCCCCCCAAACCAAAACCTTACACCTCACAGAAAAAAAATATGATGCAAGATCCAATCCATAGCAAAGTAAGCATGTATGGTGCCATCCACAGCAAAACAGAGTATGTATGTTGAAGACTACTTACTATACTCAAGGTAAACAGGCCTCACAGTGGGCAAAAGTCGTGTGAACTACCCAGAGGCCAAGAAAAATCAGGTTGTAAAAGTGAGGCATGCATAAAATTTTTAATAAAAACAATAAAGAGATCATGGTTAAGAAAGTGTCAAACCAACTGAAAATATTTGTACAGTATCTTAAAGGGACTGGACGGTAGAGCAACAGTCTTGCTTCTTGCAGGTAGGCATTCAATCCCCGACCATTCAAATGGTTGGGCACTATTTTCCCTCTGTCCTATCCTAAATCCTTATCCCCTTATTCCTTCAAAGTGCTGTATAGCCATAATGGCTTAGTGCTTTCTCCTGATAATTGCCTTAACTTTGCTGTGATGCTAAAGTTGGGGACTTGTGATAAGTTGACTGATAAAAATATGTTTGCAAGAGTTAACAAAAGTAGATGATGTAATGTGACATCAGCACAAGCATGATGGTTCATTAGAGGAACTTTGGAAGTATTGTACATGAAAATTTTGCATAAATAAAATGGTATGGACATGTTTTGTTATAGTGCTGTTTATCATTTTATTAAGCACTTCTAAAATGACAAGTTTTTTTTTGCACATAAGATGCATGTTGTGAATGTAGATTTTGTCTTGTTATAAAATTAATTACAGCATTAATTCCTGATTAAAACTGTGGAGCAATATAGGCAAATATTCTAACATGAATATTATAATAATCGATATTTGATTATTAGTAATTTGTATATGTATTTTAAATGGGTTTCCATGGTATAATTCAAATTACATCAAATATTTGAAGATTCTCGACACTTTCAGATATTTTTCTATCTCTGAAGCCTTTACAGTATCTTTATCCTGCTCAGGATAATGGATTATGCAGAACCTCTTTCACATACAATAATTTTGTGGGTCTTAAGCCAATAATCCACTTAGTATTATGTATAGTACTGTATATTCAAATCACTAAGATTCTATATTTTTTTCCATCTAGTGGCAGTTATATCTTGTATAGTACATTCATTTTGTCATTATCCACTTTCCTTACTAAAGCTGTTTCATCATGTTCCAGAAATTTAAGCTACTAACTTGGAGCAATGTGCATTATTGGTATTTTTTTTGCTTTCCACTTTTTCACCTCAAAGTTACGGTTAAGTAATCTAATGCTTTAAAGACAAAGGAATAATTTAACATATTAAGGTTTACTTACCACATTAATCTGTGGAGTCAATTCAGACAACAATTCATTTACTGTACTTGAATGAATTAGTCTGAATCAACAGAAAACTGTTTTGGACTTGATACTGTAGTAGTAGGCATCCATCTGATACTGTACCTGTTTACTATATGGTTGGTTTATTTGTATTTACCTGAAGGCCACCAAGTCAAGTGATATAACTGAATGCAGACACAAAGCCAGTTCCTTGTTTTAAGATATGTCCTGACTTCCAGGACGGGTGTGTGTCTTGCTTTCCGACTGTCCCCTGCGGTCACTTTTCCCTCGATAGAATTCTTGGTGAATCGGATACTTTTGATGGTGCCACATAGCCTTCCCGGCTTGGTGCCGCCTTTGATAATTACTTACTTATTTAAAGATGCACCCCATTTTTTCCAGCTTAATTTTGAACTAAAACACCTTTTTGGTACTGTATTTATAACTTTGGCACTTGGTTGAGGGTGATGATGTCTGTGCCTCTATAATGGGAGGCCAGGTTTGACCTCTAGTTTCTGGTATACTATTACAGGACTTGCAAGGGCTGATGTAACTTGAGTGGGGCTATCTCGATGTTGTTGGCAATCGGGCTCCACTGTTCAGCCCCTCTACAAAGTCTCTTACATTGTGGTTTGAGCTTAAAGCTGTTGTACCTTTTAAATAAGTTGTCTGGATTAATATCTTCAAATTTATTCAGTATTTTAACGTATTGATATCGGCCCTCTTATGTCTGGTTCTCAAAGTTTAGTTCGAGGTTCTCAGCCCTCGGCCTCTCCTAGTACATATGTTGATTTGGTTCTGGAATGATTTGTCACTTGGCACAAAATCTTTCCCTATATAGTACTTCACACCTATTTTCTCCAGGTAATGCCTTCCCTTCCCATGGTACTCAAATTAGTTTCTGTTCCTCACACAAATCCATGTTCTTGCATAACCTGTTAAATCCTGAGTATTTATGCAACTGGTATAAAATCTTCATCCTAGAATTTGTACTTTTTTCTATAGATTTTATCAATCCAATGTTTTATCATATAGAACTCCATTTTCCCTACCAAAGGAAACCCATTTTCCTTGTTACTTGTGGCTGCTAAGTAAGACTACTTTAATGCATGTCTGCACATAGAATAGTTTCAGAAATTGACAAAACCCTGAAGTTAATCATTTTATAATTAGGTAAAAAACTAGTTACTGTAGTCAAATTTTGCATTCCTTTTTAGCCAAATGAGCATCCATAATCAATAATCCAATAATGCAGTAACATTCTGTAGTCTTAAATGTTAATAAAATTATTTTCTTGTTTTCAGGCATCACTTCAAAAAATAAGCCCCACTAAAAAGTCTTCAGCAGCTCTATCACCAGTCAACGGAGACATAAAGAGCAGCATTCTTGGACGTGAAGCAGCGTATAGATCACCAACAAAATACTCCACTACTGTGTATAGCACAAAGTCCTCTCATCCATTATTTGCTACATATCCGCAACATGCTACAATATCATCTGCTGCATACAGGCAGCTACGGCAGGGTGTAAAATAAGTAAATTAAAGGATATACTAGAAACACGAAAGAAAGCTTTAGTATGTAAGGATTCTGATTAAGGGAGAAATGCAGCTCACCATTGCAATAGGACATGTGCATCACAGCCAAGTCAAAAAAGGAAATTCATGCAGCTGGAAGGACTTTGATCTGGTAGGGAAGTGCAGCTGATAATGGTAATGTGAGGGCAAGTGTGTTTTAATTAGATTAGTTAATCATGGTCCTGTGAACAGGATGGTCCTGTGAAGAATTTTAGCATTCAAAGCCATCAAGTGAAACCATTATAATTAGTGTACCCTCATTGAAGATGCTCTCTCACACACTGTATGCATTTGTGCACACACACACACATACTGCATATTCTTATGGAATCATTTGTTGTGTAAGCAATGCAAAATTTCATATATAAACATCTTGCCTAATAAAAAATGTAACTAATGAGAAGTTCACACACATGACTGATAGTCAATACATTCTCATCCTTCAGTATGCAAATTTGAATAATGTGCCATAGTGAATTTGTTGTTTAAGGAAGTTAATTTGTACTAGTCTGTCCAGCAATGGGCACTACACTGGCATTTAATTTATTGAACATGTTCATTATTATTAAGACATTTTGTGATTGAGCACAGTAACACATTTGTCAAGCATTTTTGTTAAATTTATATTAGGGTTTTAGTTTATATACATTTTTGTGAGGCACAACTAGATTTACTTATCATATTTTGGATGTAATTTTTTTTGAAGAATTGTCTAAAGTCGGTTTCTTGCCGTTATGAACTGAGAATATTTATTATGCATATTGGAAAATATCTCAATTTACTACACTTCGTGGCAAATTGTGTATGTACCCAGTTATTCATTTGTAAAGGAGTGGTCTTTTCAGTTGACGTGAAGGTTTTACCAATTCATGTTCCAACACATTGGTATCTTTTGCTGTGGAGTCTTCCATGTAATACGCCCAAGAGGAAGGTAAGTCAAGTATGGTATATAATTAATAGAGCTTTTACCCTTGGATATAAATGCCATCCTGAGCAACATAGTTTGCTTGTATACTCTTAGGTTAATTTGAAAATCTAGGTAGCCATCATTCCTATTTACATTTTGTTGTTATAGTCTGGGTTAATATTAGATCACAATATTTTCAGCATTACCATGTCTTTCATAGTCTCAGATTGAAGCATTTGCATAATAGTAATGATTAGCCTTTCCTCTCTATATAGAAATATAAAGCTCAATTCCAGATCAGTAAAGCATTGTACAGTTAATACTGCTGTATAGACCATGATATTGATCAATTTCTCGTAACTTTCCAATTAAATATCATAATATTCCACTCTGCCTCCACAGCATTGGTATTTCTTGTTTTTAGTCTCGCTGTAAATACACGTCTAACTTGTCACATTATGCTGTTCACAATTAACGTACACTTCATAGAAAATCAATCTTTACATCATTTGTCACTGTCAATCCTGAGTGTGCTGATTGTTTAAATTTCTTACACCATTTTGGTTGCTTCAACTCAAGTAATTCTTGTCACCCTTGATGTTTCATACTTCACTAATATTGCAAAGCACAGTACTACAGTATAGTTAAATTGACAGTTCTGGGTCTTTCAGAGATCTTGCCTATTGTTTTTATGTATGGTATTCTTAAAGTGCAATCTATATTCATCTATCCATTATGGTGCCATTATCCCATTATAGTACCAATTTTCATGAGTCGGGAAGGCATCAGCATAGTTACTGAACGGCATCTTAAAATAAATGCTTCTTCTTTTTCCAACCACAGTAATTTGTAATTTTGGCTTAGTTTTAATAGTAGCTTTTGTAGTCTGGATTTTCCACAATTAAAATCCTTTACTGATGTTTATACATCTTTCTTATTTCCATAGTTCTAAGATTACACTTGTATTTACTACCTTTAATTAAACAAGAACCTATCTTAATCGCGTCAATGAATTGCCAATTGGCCTGTCAATAGTCCCGTATCTTAATCCCAAGAAAATAACCATCTTTCTTAACATTAACATTATTACAACTGAATACAATATTGCTTTTGCAGAAAATCATTTTTTCAATTCAGTATTTTACCAGATTTACCATGTACACAGAACCTGTTCATCACATACTTGAATTCTTAGTATTGTGATGATGAAAACTGGATTAGGGTAACCACTTCTTTACAAGTCTCCTTTTAATTTTGTAAATTATATTATGCATTGCAGTACCTAACTATTGGGCATTAAATTTTATTACATTCATAAACATAAGTAACTAAGTACAGTACAGCATACTGTGTGTGTATGTATGTATGCATGTATATATTTATATTTTTTTTTTATTCAGCGTCCTCGCACAAATTATAAATTTGGAATGTTTACAGAAATTTAATATAATTTCACAAACTACTTTCTGTAGTTTAGACATTGCCACACAAAAATATTAAAAAAATGAAAATCACTTTAGCTCCATGATTTCTTGGTAATTTTATACGATGTAATGTGAAAATTGTGCTTTAATTAATTTCTTGATATTTTTTGGTTATTTATATTGGCGAGTAATGGCACCACTACATTACATTACGACCGGCACATAGAGGGATAAAGGTTGACCTGAATAGTCAAGTCTTACAGCACGTGTCAGATGCTGGCCTCAATAAAAACTTTGTACATGGTTAAACTGGCCACCGCGGAAATTACTTTGATTATATAGTCTTCAGGAACTTATTAACTATACAATTACTTTATAGCTTGTATTTTGAATGATTTTGCACAAAACAAAATGTAATCAAATTTAGTTGAATAATTGGGAAATTTAATAAACTTGTACAGTATGTGCAAGACATAATCTTAGTGCATAAAATAGAATGTCATGTAACTGCACTCTTAAAATTTTTAAACTTTTTTCTACTGCATTTCAATTTAATATAAAGTAAATACATTTTTTTCTAATTAACATTGAAATGTCAGCAAGATCTTAGGAAAATAATTACTGTAAGCTGCCAAGCCTTGCGTCTTGGAAGGCCTCCCGACCTCTTCTGGTAAACACGCTAGCCTCTGGCTGCTGCTCCCATCATCACTGTTGCTCTGCTGATTTAATAGAGCTTGTAAATGTTTTCTGCACAAAAGAACAGTAAACAAACTGATTTTTTTCAGTAATTTTGGCTTTTATAAAATGCTCTTATATTATCTATTGGGGCAGGATTTATTTTGTGGAACTTTAATGAGGTGTACTGTACTCTTATAACTTAAGAGGCGTTGATCAGCAGGTCTTCTGCACAGGATAACTTGGAAAGTGTGCAACATTGTACCAACAATTGGTCAAATAACACCATATCAAAAAATAAAACAGCTCATATGAACCTTTAAAACTAAGGACTTATAAATTCTTAAATAGCTTTGGTAATCTTCCATTACCAAGACTGAGCAAAAGGCGAGGCAGTACAAAGACTTCGAAAAAGTATTTTACTTCCATTTTTTCGTTGTCTTCAGTGCTAACACTGTACATTTCCATAATTTACCTTTAACCCTTAGACAGAGGTTATCGTCATTCGTTGATTCGCGGGGTAATACAGTTGCCGTCATATGACGGTTTAAACCATTATTGTCTAGGTTTTACATGTATGATGCAATATGGATATAATAGATATATGGATGTAATAGTTTACCTTGACCCATGAAGAAAATCTTCCTACCATTTCATGATTACATGTTCTGGAAGCCAATTAGGCCATTTGTCATTGCCCAGAGCACACCATCATTGTACTGCACATTGTTCATATCCTTTTCACTACTTTCTCTTGGTTGTAATGGAGTATACCTGGTAAAGCATTCAACAGAAACATGTGTTATTGAAATAATTGTGTTATGTGAATTATGTGATTTATCAAGTTATTAAACATTATAAATGAAGAGAAACAAGTGATAAACAATCGGTGAAACATCCGAGGAAGCCTCAGTCGGGCACCAGACTTGCCCTTCGAGAGCGCTTGAACCCAGTGAAACGATAAATATTCACTTATTTTCGTGTTTTTCTTACATATTGCATACAAATTCTTCCCATATTTTTTTCTTTTCTTTTTTTTTTCTTTCTTTCTCTCCATCTTGAGATCTTGAGATCTTGAGATGATTTCGGGGCTTTAGTGTCCCCGCGGCCCGGTCCTCGACCAGGCCTCCACCCCCAGGAAGCAGCCCGTGACAGCTGACTAACACCCAGGTACCTATTTTACTGCTAGGTAACAGGGGCATAGGGTGAAAGAAACTCTGCCCATTGTTTCTCGCCGGCGCCTGGGATCGAACCCAGGACCACAGGATCACAAATCCAGCGTGCAGTCCGCTCGGCCGACCGGCTCCCCTATAGGCACATATGACCATAGTCTCTGTCTAAAGGGTAAAAAGAGTACCAGAACTGGTGCCATATTATTAAGCCAAAGAGTAAATTTCAAACCTTCAAATAGAAAACTTTACCCATCTAAAAATACCAGATACATGCTAGTGGTTAGAATTATAACAATGCTACTCTTTAAATGTTCTTTTAAAGAATTTGGACAATTTATTACTTAAGGTATCATTACATTGCTGGATCAGTATGTAGAACTGCACTGTAATGGACGTTTACCACGATTACAACAAAAAGTTCTCATTGTGAAAGAATTTGAGTTCTCAATTAAAAGTCTTTGCCTTTCCCTATTACTGTACTAATTACTGAAATTAGAATAAAATTTGCAAATGCAACAATAATACTGATGTCTGATAAATTTTTCAAATGTATTTTATATAAAATAGAAAAAGCAGTTAATTTGCAAGTTAATAATTTTTTTGTCAAATGTTTTATTGATTGTTATTTGTAGTCAGTGATTATTCAAATTTGGACACAATCAATATGAGAGCAGTAAGCAAGTGAAACTAAAAAGAAAAATAGTAGAGTACTTCTACCCATTATTTTAAAAGCAAAAAAAAAAAAAAAAAAAAGGGTTGAAAGTCCCTTTCAACCGTTAGTCCCATTAGATCACCGATAGTTGGAAATGTGGACACCCGCAGCTGAAACTTGGTCCAGCAACTTGTTGGGTGAGAACATCCACCCATGCATACGTGTGCCCGCGCGCATGTACATGGAAAGACATTCATGCATATACAGAATGTAAATATTTTTATTGAGACTTGTAAATATTTGTATCTTGGACTGTTTGTAGTTGTAAATGCAAAAAAAAAAAAAAATCCGTTTGTTCCAATGTAGAATTGTAAATGCATTATATAATTTTATGGAATACTCTTTTAATGAAATGACATACATTTCTGAAATGTATGTCATTTCTTTAATGAAATGACATACTTACATAATTTTATGGAATACTCTTTTAATGAAATGAAATTCAACTGGAAATCTAATGGAAGTATGATAGCTCTGGTTATGGCAAAATGAAGTGTTTAAACTTTTTTATCTATTACTAATCCATACTGTATTGTGAAAAATGGCTGTCTATTTTCATCCCCCTGATATTTGAAGCACAAGTTAACAATTAAAAATAATTGCTCTAGATGTAGAGAAGTTCAATGTTAATGTTTTTAATAATGTTTAGTACAAGATGCATATTACATACAATATGAATTTATATCATCTATGATTATGAAAAATTATGGTCAACGTTTATTCCTAGTCCTTGGCAGTGCCTTCATCGTAAGCCTTTCGACAACCGATATATATAAAAGTGCACTTCTATAATTAGACAGTCTTGCTGAGTATGTTTTCAGGGAGCTTTTAAGTACCACAATTCATTGGCTTTGCATAATTAATGATATTTTTTATTATTCTTTCCTTGTATCTAAAAGATTCGTATAGGCACTGCATTGTTAAGTACAGTACATAACGACTTCGTTGAGTACAAGAACTCTTCGACAACTTTAATTACGCATTTATTTTTTGTAACATATGACGAATGCATTTTACGGCTTTAAGGAATTGAGCAAAATTTTAAACCAGCTAAAGCTGCTGAAATGCTTGTACTGTAAAATAATGAATCGTACTATATTTTTGAACGAATCTCATATAACAAAATTGCATGTACAATGACCTGCCATTTATTCAAGGCTGTAGCACTAAAAGTATATGAATGTTGAAATCTGGAGGTACTGTATCTCCTAAAACTAATAGAGAGGCCAAGCATTTTTGACACTGCAGAGTACAGTGTGTGTGCATGTGTGTTTAATGGAATTATTGAGTCAATAAAAGTAACAAACAATGTAAGGGAAGTAACACTATGTAAGGGAAGAAGTCGCTCTCATATTTTGTGAAAAGCCAAAACCATTATCTCCAGCTCTTAAGCCACATAACATAACTTACCAATCCTTGATAGTCAAAACACTATTTTAAGCAAGTAAATAATATACTGTACTAGTACATTAGTGATGTAATACTATACAGTGTATTAGGATTAGTGATGTAAGTAATGATGTAAATGTTGGGGTGCATATACATACACGCACACACACACAAGCAGTAAAACAATGAAACAAAACTGCAAAACTTACACAAATCTAGTACTTGAGCACTGTGGATAAATGGTGTTTGACTACAGTATATAAAGCCGTATTTGACAGGATCCAGTGTGCCTTCCTATTTCTTCTAATAAATTCTTGGAGATTAGATGATTATTTTGCTTTTATGTATACTGTATTATTATTATTAATCTACTATATTTGTATATTTTTAAACAGTATTTATGTTCCTTCCAGAAATGTATTAAAGCTGATCTAGTTTAAAGACTTCAACGTGTTTATAATTGTGAAGAACTATATTCAAGCGAAACTGAATGGGATAATTGTCTAATACATTTTCAGTCAAAAAGTATCCCTTCTCAGGGTTGAAGTTCTTGACTTGTGATCCTATTCTGAGTTGGTGCCGTGTGATGGTCTTTCATGTAGCTCTTAAGGTACTATTGTGTTCATGTTCTGTTAAAAGTTATTGTGCCATACATGATAATGGCTGCATATTATTTTTCCACTGGAAACTGTGATATTTAATTCCCAATATGAAGAAATATTTATATTCAACTACATTGTTTCCTCTGATAGGGCATATAAGTACTTTCAAAATAATTATTTGTGCAATGGTACTGATCTCATGCTTTTAACTAACAATTACATAGCTGTGCATAATTTATGGAAATCATAGACTACAAGTTGTTATGCACATTAGTATAATCAGTATTTATTCTGATCTCAGAAAATGTTTGTGTGATCCACCGAAGACGTATCTAAAATAAAAATGTAATAAATTTATTGTTTAATAGCACCTTTTATATATACTGTATATTACATTGTACTTTTAAATATACAACAGGTCTCGGACTAGTGAATGACCACGGTTCCCATTTTAGCCTCTCATCCTGCTTTACAAACCAATCACATATTGGGAACCTTTTAATGTTTTAAACCATACTCCTTAAAGATGATATAACTATACAGTACTCTAAAGAGTATAATTTGAAGTGCATCGATCTCAGTCCCTTAAATACACTACTGTAATTATCAAAAGAAGGCACCAAGCTGAGAAGACAATGTAGGACCATCAGTGGAGATTATTAAAAAAGGCACTAGATATATCACTTGGGATGCCAATACAGTACAAGACAAGGACATAATGGCAAGCAATGTCAAAAGTAATCAGATTCATCAAGGATATTATTGAGGGACATTAGGAAAGCAAGACTGACGAATATCCTGAAATTTAGACATTGTACAAGTTGGTGCACAACTGTTAGTGGGGTATTGCAGTTCAGACAACAAGGAACAGGGCAGTGTTCCCGAGAGTTAAGCACCTATGGCCAATACATAACCTAGCTAGAGTAGTTAGCCTTCCTCCTACCATGGTAATAGAGGTTGTCATTAAGAGTGCAGAGTTTACCTGTAACACCAGACCAATGACTGCATTGGTCATGGATTGAGGAATGAATGACTGGGAAGAAATCTGAATATGGAATGCTTTTTTTGGGGAAAAAGGATAGGTGCAGATGGCCTTAGCAACAGCAGCCTGCACATTTATGTACAGTAATAACTATGGCTGGGAACTCGGCAAAACAACTGTGTTGAATCTGCTCGAGCCCCGCCTCCACCGGGGATCGAAATCGGAATCTTGGGACTATGAATCCCGAGCGCTGTCCACTCGGATGTCAGGCTCACCTGACACACTTGCTTACCAATGGTATCATATACACACACACACACACGCACGTCAATTCTTAGCTTAAAATATTTGCGATTTACCAATTTGTTACAACCTTGCACTTAAAAATTTGTTAAATCTGTTTCGTAAATTGATAACTTTGTTAATTATCAATCATTAATTTTCTCACCTAAATAGCAACTATTGTGTGTCTTGTTACAATATTCCAGCATTGTTAATGAACTTATTATTATTATTACTATTATTATTAACAAGCTTAGGTATACACAGCAACGTGCTGCTACCCTATTCTATATGAAAGATTATGCAGTGTAGATAAAA